TAAATTCACAGCATCTCCAGGTAGGGCTAGGAAAAAAATCCTGCCTAAAACCCAAGAAAGCTGCCGTCAGTTAGTGTTGAGACTACTGGGCTGGATGGACCAATGGTCTGACTCAGTGTACAGCAACTTCCAATGTTCCTATGTACACAACATGTGCACTCCTATGGGCATGCCAGGCATACCTTGGTGACTAGCAGCCAAACAGAGACGTTTCCTCCCTCTCACTCATGGAATGCTCAAGTTGTTCTCCTCTAGTTTGTATTGAGAGGGCAGGCTGCATAAAGATGAATGCCTGAATGCATCTTATTATGCAGAACGCAAACTCAATTCTTTCAGGAAAATCAGGATGTTAAAGTAATGACAGTTTGATCCTCTTTGTTATTTACAAAATGCTGAATCTGCTGTTTGAAAATGTCATCTTGTAGAAGACTTCTGCTATTGATTGCCCTGCTCGTAGCAGCCAGGCAAGGAAGGATTCTATTTTTTGTGTTGTTTGGCAGTGACTGGCCGATTCCGGAAGGTGGTGCTGGGGAACTACAGCTCTGCACCATGGCAGCTTTGCCATGGGGTACCGCAGGGCTCCATCTTGTCCCCCATGCTCTTTAACATCTACATGAAACCGCTGGGAGAGGTCATCAGGAGGTTTGGGCTGCGGAGTCATCAGTATGCTGATGATACCCAGCTCTACCTCTCATTTACATCTACTCCAGGTAAGGCAGTGGCTGTCCTTAACCAGTGCCTGACCGAGGTAATGGGCTGGACAAAGGCCAATAAACTGAACCTCAATTCAGATAAGACAGAGGTCCTGTTGGTGGGAGGTTTGGGTTTTCAGGTAGATCCTGTCCTGGATGGGGTTGCACTCCCTCTAAAAGCCAGTGTTTGCAGCTTAGGAGTGCTCCTTGACCCAGAGCTATCCCAGGAGATCCAGATGATGGTGGTGGTGAGGAGTGCCTTCCTCCAGCTTTGGCTGATCCATCAGCTGTGTCCTTACCTGGATGACCAGTGCCTAGCAATGGTGATACATGGCCTGGTAACTTCCCAATTGGATTATTGTAACACGCTCTACATGGGGCTGCCTTTGAAAATGGTCCAGATACTTCAATTGGTACAAAATAGAGCTTCCAGGTTGCTGGCGGGGACCAGTCATTATTCTCACATAACGTGGGCCTCCACCAGCTCCACTGGCTTCCAACTGAAGTCCGGGCCCAATTCAAGGTGCTAGTATTAACCTATAAAGCCCTAAACGGCTTGGGATCAGGATACCTGAAGGAACATCTCCTTCCTTATATGCCCTCACACCCCTTAAGATCTTCAGGAGAGGCCCTGCTCTGGGAACCCTGCTTGAAGGAGGTAAAGAGGGTGTCTACTCAGAGTAGGGCCTTCTCTGAGGTGGTGTCCAGATTGTGGAATGCGCTCCCCAGAGAGGTTCGCCTGGCACCAAGCCTATACTCTTTCACCAGGTGAAAACCCTTTTATTTGAACGTCATTTTAAGAATTAGGGATTTTAGACGTCAAGTCAACAGACACTTTTTAATCTTAAATTATTTATATTTTCTTTTTTTGAATGTGATTTACTCTGACTGTATTTTATTACTATTGACTGTATTTATTATTAATATTTATTGACTATTGTCTATTGTATTATTGTTTTTATCATTGTTGTTGATTTTAAGCTTGTAAGCTGTGAAGAGTGTGTTAGAAATGTTCTATTAAATTAAATTAAAATAAAATAAAATTAATATCATGAACTGATCCTTTTTGTGATTAATTGCAGCTGGACAGTTTGGACTGCTACATAGGAGTGGTTTAAGGGCAGCTACCAAGCTAAAAGAGTCTAGAGACTTTCACTATTTCTTCAATTCAATCTGATTGCTTATCACACTTCCCAACCCAGTTCGTATTTTTATCTGTCATGAGGTCATGGGCATCACTTTACATCTAACACCTTAAGGATCTCTGTCCCAAGATGAGAACTTGACAGCATCCTGGACATGATGCAATTTTTCCCTCTTTACAGATGAAATCCCTCAGGCCCTCCTGACCCACCACCTCACCTTCACTCCAGTGGGTTTTATTTTATTGTAATTCCCAAAAGCTCATAGTTGTCTGTGCAATTTTTCCCCTCCAAAGTGTGCATATACAGCTTTCAGCAATGTGTTTTCGATTACTTGTAAGACTAGGAAGGCATTAATGGGAGGAAACAACTTGATTCTGACTGCCAGTGCTACACAAAGCAGAACTTCCAAAGGATATGATGACTTCTTGACCAAAGCCAGCCTGCTCACCTTAAAAGGTCTCATGCTTTAGTTCTCTGCTGTTACAAAGGAGGTTAGATGTCCTTGGCTTTCTGGACGTCTTGTGTTGTATGATATGTATTTTTCTGGCATTAGCCTAACACCTTGGCTGAAGAAACCATTTTGATTCTGAAAGAAGCAGCATGGCAGGGCAGCCCACGCTTCCCTTTCCTGCTCCCTGGGATGGGGGTTGGCAATTTGACTCCACGCACCTTGACATCTCGGCAGCCAACAATATTGTCAAGGGTCTGGACAGGAGCCACAGTGTGCATGCTCTTTCTCCATTAATTAGACTGAAGCGAGCTGGTTGCTGTAGGCAAGGAAACATGCAAATGCCTACCTTATAGCTTTGCCACAACCCAGCGAATTAATCTACATTTTAAATTGGCCAGTACAGAGTTTTGGCAGGAAATAGGTCTAATCTTGAACCATTTCCATACCCTAGATAGGAGAAGAGGTTCAGGTACCACATGAATCACCTTAAAGATACCTCTTAGTTCCTTGTCCTTTCTTCACAAACCAGTTCCCATTTTTCCCACCCAATGTTGCCATCATGGTCACATGGGCTCCCAATCTCCTACCTTGTCCCTCCCACAGTCCTACCTTCCCCTCTTTGTTTGGCCAATGCTAATTTATTCAGTCTTCATCTTTCCCTAGTTTTTAGTTAATTCTCTTAGAGCTAGTATACTGGTGTATGTGCTGGGGGTGGAGATGGGGAACATTGGTATACTAACTAAGATGTCTTTCTCTATCTCCTGTGGGTTGAGAATAAAATATGTAAAACTAAAGTGGCTAGGTTCAGCCAACATGACAATTTTTTTTTACCATTGTTGAACTATCATATTCTTTGAACCCAGTCATGGTATCACACCATGGTAAGTTTGATCTTTAGAAACCATGATAAGAAACAACAGTTTATTTCATGGTTTCTCTGTCTCACCATGGCTTGTTCTGTTGTCTGAACCCAGGTTTCCATGACCCTTGTATGCAACCACCACAGTCTCCTGAAAAGAGCAGCAACTGCAGGAGCCACTCCAGCCATCCAGCCTCTACATGCGGACCAATAAGGAAGAGGCAGGTGACATAGCAGGAAGCAATACACCTTAGGATTGAATTGCAGGCATGGTGGGTGATGGAATACATGCCAACAGTGGGAGCTCTAACCAAGGAGGATGGAAACCATGATAATGTAGAAACCACTTGATATGATAAAAAAAACCACACTTTGAACCAGGGTAACCACCCAGGGTTGCTTGTTTTGTTGTGTGGATACAGTGCTTCCAATAATCTGTTGCAATCCTGAAAGAGTCTTGCTGTGTGTGCATGAAATTATCTTGCAGTGAGTGCTTGCGGTAATCTGATCTGTGAAATGCACTAAATACTCCCAGGAAAAGTTTGTCTAGCTTTCTTTTATCTTCTGGACCCAAAGGGCTGGCTTGAAGTACTTGGGGAACATTTTACTTTCTGGCTGTTGATAGGGCTGGGCACCCTTTAGTACATGGGTACCCTTATTTACTGATTGATTGATTGATTGATTGATTTATTCATGCATTTATAGGCTGCCTTTAACCCCTGAGGCTTTCCTAGTCAGCTTACAATACATTAAACATATTAAAACATAATAAAACACATTAAAAACCTGTTAAAACACTAACATATTAAAACGCCTTTAAGGGCAGCCCCATGTAGAGCACATTACAATAATCTTACAACTTTACACCTTTTAAGAGAGTTATACCTTATTATGGGCCTACTTAGAAAAGGATCCCCAAAACACAGAATCCCACAGAGTAGTTGGTTGGTTCTTCCTAGTAAGGATTCCAAGAGAGTTAATACAAATGATAGCCCAGTACTGAGGCTGCTGCATCCAGGACATTACACACATGCCCTCTGCCACATGGCTGGACCTCCCCATTCAACAGAATCCACGTCTTTCATTCTCCAAAAGATGGCAGTAAATTTGAACAGAAAGAACCATCAGAAAGCAGCACAAGGCATCCTCCTTTCACTAAGTGCATCACCCTCAGAATCAGATATTGCTCAAAGTATTTCCAGGATCAGGGATTCAGGGCCTCCAGTGATATATCAGGAAGCACTAAGCTTAAAAGTCTGCTATGCTGAAGCTGGTACAACACTGATCATGACAGGCTCCTTGTATTGAACCGAAAGGCCTTTGTGGATAGTACTTCCTGTGTTTTAGCAAACAGTGTCCTGGACCTTGTCTCCAGGACCTGCCTCTCTCCTAAATGGGAAGTTTCTCCTCATACTTGCAAGCCCATGACCTCTGCAATGGCAGAAATAGGATAGGTATCCATCTCCATTCTGTTCTTCATGTGAAGTAGACATTCACAATAAACATTTTGCATTCTTCAGGTCTCCTTTCCATTACACATACGATATCATGAAAGAATAACCAATACGTTCTGAACTTTCAAAACTTACAGACATTACAGGCTTTAAAAAACTGGATCATTCATAAAGATTAGCTAGAGGCTGTAATGCTAAATGGGAAGAAAAGGTAGAATGAAAAAGAACACATGACTCAGTAGAAAAACCCAAGTAACGTGAAGATGCTGTGCGGCAGATTATGGGCTATATTATTTGTCCTTATTCAGTAGCAGTGCAGTCCCCATGAATCAGCACATTTTGTACACATGACAATCTTTTGCTTCAAAAGAACCTCATCATTTGGTCCATGCTTCCTACCTTGACAGTGAAGTCTGCAGTGAGAGGGCCAGGCATTCGAAGTATCTCTTTGTCTGGAAACTTCTGGAAGTCAACACTAGAATTATCTACAAGAAAGGATCCTGTGGAGCTGAGACTGGTTTCACCCTTCACACCTTGCAGGGTCTTGGTTTCCAAATCTAACAAACAAATACATTGATGAGAGGAATGTAATTGTTTTAATGGATTGAACACAGAAAGCAAGCAAGCAAAACAATAAACATTGGGAATGTCAAAGCAACATAGAAATAGAATGAATGATAGAGAAAATTAGCTTTGCATACTGGGCAGATTTTATTTCAACTAAAAATACAATTATTTTGCAGCCTTATTAATACCTTTATTAACACATGTTCTATCTCAACATGTTCAACTTCACACCATTTTGCCCGGTTCTTCTATTTACTCAACTATTGTGGGTGCTTTGCATGTGCGCGCACTAAAATAAGTGTGAGAGATGCTGGGGCTGCAAAGGGAATCTGTATGGCTTCTTGACCTCTTTCAGAGCGGGATATAAAAGTACCTATAAAGGGTTTTCCAGAGCTGGCAAAAAGGAAGAGAGAGATACAGCCAAAAGTTTTGCAGGTTAGGGAGAATAAATTTTGCTTACATAATGTGTTTTCCACAATGCTTCAAAATTCCATTCTGCATTTCACATGGAACACACTTGATTTTGCACCAGTCAGTGAAAGGGGGTACCTGAGGTTAGCCAACAACACCAGTACAAGCCTCTTCCTTGGATTCAGCTTTAATTTGGTTAGCCCAGCCGGCTTTAAGGAAGTGGAAACACATAGGATAGAAAGAAGAAAGTAGGATGAGGAAAAGGAAAAAGAGGACAGCTAGTGGCTGGGGCAGTTACCCTGGACAGCAACACAGTGCAGACCCCTTCTGAGTGTACTGGGGACGTTATTCCATAGGGGCTCAGGGCTGGCCCTACACCTGCCTGAACTGAGGCTCCCTAGAGGATTGCGGTCCTTGATGTTATGACCAGAACAAACCATGGTACAGTACAGTAACGTGGCCAATTAAATGAAAATCGCCTTGAGTATAGGTCATCTTGGCTCCTTTCTCCCAGCACATTACCAAACTGACCCGGGCTCAGTGGAGTAGTGCAGCCATTTTTTGCCATCTATTGCAAACATGTGACGAGTTCATTACCTGGCCTGAAATTTATTCCAGGATGAAATTTACCAGCTGCCTTTCCTGGGAGTCTGCCCTCTTTGCCATATACATTCTTGGAACTCAAACTTATCCAAGATGTTGCCTCATGTAGAGACGCTTTTTTCCTTTATGCCGCAACTCTTTGTGATGTGCAATACCTTGTTTATCTCAGCTGTGCTAGTGAAAGCATGCATAAATGGGAGTGCAGAAAATCATTACTCAAGCTTACAGAGAACTTCTGATACATTAATAAATGTTATGTGGTTCTGCAAAAGTCAGTAAATCAATCTGACTTACTGTTTAGAGCATGGGCCCTCAAACTATGGCCCAAGGGACAGATCCGGCCCACCATGGCCTTCCATCCGGCCCGTGCCACCGTTCCCTGCCCGTGCACGTGCTGGCTGCATGGGTGGGGAGGTGGTGGCTTGCTCGTTCGGACATGGTCTCCTAGCAAACAAACCGCCGCCGCCTCTGCCTGCCTCCCGTATGCGCGCGCTTGGCGGTCGCAGTGCAGGCGGGGAGGTGGTGGCTCGCTCACTTGGAGATGGTTTTGGACTCGCTGGGAGATCTCTGAGTGAGCGAGCCACCTCTGCGCATGCCCGATGCTGCCTCGCACGCACCCGACAGCACCTCGCTGGGCCACGGTCACTGCAGCCTTTCAACTGGCCCCCTATTCAAAAAATTTGAGGACCCCTGCTTTAGAGATATATGTTTCTCTTTTCCTACAATAGTCAAGGATTTTGCATTGGCCAGAATCTTATGAAATCTTCTCCATGGACTTTCGAAATACTGAAGACATACTGCATGATCTTCTAAAAATCCAGGGATAACTGCACAGTTTTAATGGTCACATGCTTCTCAATAACAAAGTGGAACTTCCACATCTCTTCTACCTTGTTTTCAAAGTTCCATGGTGGGGCACATCTGATATGGTTGCCTTACAGAATCACCCTTTGCAAAGTGGCATAATTATGCACCCAGATAAAGGGGACACGTGAATATGGTTCTGATCGCTGCAAAGTTCTACATGCGATGAACTGAGCGAAGTGAAATGTTACTACGGGGATCAAGGTTTAGTGGTGGCTTTCTCAGCTCTTGCCTGATGAAACAGAGTCTATCATGTGTTGGATTCAGTGGTGTCATTCTACTGATGTGTCAGCTTCCATCAGCATCACCTTCCCTCAGGTACCATCAAGTTCTGGTCCAGAAGGACTAACCCTCGACACCCCCCCACCCTTAATGTGGTCTGCGGGTGCGGACTATATGACTTACTCAGTGACATCTGCTTCATATTAGATCTGGAAGGTGAGAAATATACCCTGTGGCCAATCCCAGTGGTGAAAGTAACATACAGATTGGCTCACACAAAACAAGTTCTGGAGCAAAGGTACTTGCTCGGCCTCTCTCACTTATAGAAACTGATTTCTCTATGAAGCATCTCTCTCCTGGCCTCTTTACAATTTGATTTTATTGAAAGCAGAGCTGCAAAGTGATAACATTTGTTAGTTTGAGAAACAGCATGTGCACAAGTAGAAGAAAAGATGGTAAGCTATTTATAGGGAAAGAAATAAGAGCCACATGAGAAGCAGCCAGGAATACTCAAAGGGCCACTTATTTCTTACAATTATAACTTACGCTATATATTTTCCGCCCTTTTGCTAGTTTATAACCTGCAATTTGCTGGTCATTATTCACAGTTCTAAATCTTAGGCATAAAAAGATTAGCATGTACCTACTGCTGTCTTTCAATATAAGCAGAATGCAATCCATTTTGAGACTCAAAGGACATTCTCCATCTCACTAGCCTGTAAACTTTTTGCAGAGGTACTCCGTGCTTGTGTAGTTTTGCTTATCTTATACTTGACAAGCAGCTGCAAGTCTTTAGCATCTCTGTATGGATGAGCAATACTATTTAATGGTAAAAAAATGTATACGCTATGGACAATCATTGTCCAAATAGTTATACTGAATCATCTTGTAGTAAGAACTCCAAAAGCGCACATTTAACTCTACTTTGTGAAAAGAGAGATAATGAGCGAAACTGGCAGACTGCTGCTACCATTCAGACCCTTTGACTGGGAACAATATTTCATGTGCCAAGACGTACTACACAGCAAAGCAAAGCAAAAAGGAGGGTAGTACACAAATGTGGATCACTTACCTGGTTTCCTAGCAGGGATGGTTTGAAGAGTCAGAGTAACTAGTGTCAAATACTTCAAGCAGCGTATCCCCCCCACCCCCCGCCCACTCCCCAGTCACCTTAAAGGTAATCTCAGATTACTGCATTATGCTCAGTGCAGGCGGCACCTTGCGCAAAACGTGATAGCCAGGTAGATAGAGTGGAAAAGAAGGTTTGAGCCTGTAATAACAACTGTGGCCTGCTTGGACTGGCTGCCTGTATGTTTCTGAACCCAATTCAAGGTGCTGCTTGTGAACGATAAAGCCTTACATAGCTTGGGATGATGCTCACAGTACCTGATGACGCGCTTCTCCCAGCATGAACCTTCCCTGACGCTATGTTCCAAACCTGCGTGTTTGCTCTGAGAACCTGCTCTGAGGCAGGTGTCAAGGATGGCATGAAAGGAGAGGGTCTTCTCACGGATGGCCTGCCTCCCATCAGTTCTGCCTGGCACCAGCACAGTCATCTGTTCAGTGATGCTTTTCTTCTTTTTACAGACATTTGATGGCATACAGTGGAATTTTCCAGTGTTGGTTTTTTAATTGGACCCCAGTATTTTCAATTGCCCCTAAATATTTTAAACTATTGAATATTTTGCATGCATCATTTACAGTTTTTTTATATTAGGGTTTTGACACCTAGAGAGCTTTGGCTATTGGGAGTTGGAGAAATGAAATGAAAAAGATCATTATCCAGGAATTATCTGTTAAAATTTCAGTATTCCTTCACCATGAGCCTCCAATTCTTTGATGGTGGGACAAAACCTCACTTCAGGCACCATATCCTCTAAGTGTACCATCTCAATCAGGGTTTGCTTCCACCTTCCGTCTCTGTATCTACCAGTTCAATCTGTATGTCCTGTTAGCAAAAATAGAAGGCGTCATCTCTGTGCTTTTATATAGGCCACTGGTGAGCTTTCTTTCCTTGACATCCTCTAACACCACAATGCAGTATTTCTTGTGCATGTCTCCTCTGTCATGAGCCAGGGAAACACTGAGGAGAACACAAGAGCAAGAACATGCGTTAAACTCATGAGCCGCGCAACAGCTCCACCAGCAGCAGGGATGCCGCCATTGTATTCTCGTCAGCCATCAGCCACATCAAACTGGTCATCACATCAAACTGGTCAGTCAAGTGAGACACAGACATACAGATCTCTGGATGGAAAATTAGAGCGGGCTGGAAAGAGTTTTATTAATGGGTTAAATTATGCCTCATATAAATGGGTAGCTTCTTACCGATGTTCTAGGAAATGCTATCTGAAGTCAGGAATTTTGACCTCCTCATGGGAAAAAGAGCCCTAGAACCTTGTTCTAAACAGAACTCCACAGGTTATTTTGAGCATTCGTCTTCTGAAATAAAGTATACTTTTATTGATTGATTGATTTGTTTTACTCACATAAGTGATCAGGGCCTTTCAGCACAAGGCGAACATGCCGACTTCCGTAGGGAATAGCAACCACGGTGTCATCCACTGGATGAGAGAAAAGGGGAGGGGAGGCAAAAACCGCACATGATCAACAAGCAAAGGAATCTCCCAGTTTCCAAACAAGTAGTGAAAACAGTTCTTCATGGGAAAATTGCAAGCCAAGTTTTTGGCCACCTAAAAAGAAAAACACTGGAAGTCAATGAACCTTGAAGAAAAACGAAATGTGAAAGAATCATGCCCTGCTATTTCAGCATCATTGTGCTGCACTGCTAGACAAATGTCCTTGCTTTCAAGGGAAAATGATCAGTTTAATTACATGTGGTTTCTATGTAAAAGAAAGACTTATTACTCTTACAAATCAGCCTTACTGGAAGCATCTGTCTTGGCAATTGCCTGAGCACCTGTAATGTCAAGGAATGCCAGTGAATATTTTAATTGCGGCAGGGGAAGAAATGCTCACACAAGAACTAGAGAAGGCAGGACCTGTTTGCTACTGGAGAACTGGGAAGAGAGAAGGGCTGAGGACCAAAGGGTTTGTTTCACATGGGTGCCAAAGAAGAGAGAAGCAAGAGGATTAGAAATAATGTTCTAGTGCAAAATGGCAGACCCCAGACTCTTTTCCCTATGACAGGCATTTCACACAGAGAAGTGTTAGCAATCAGCGTTGACTGGCATGAGGCGGAGACCAGTCTCCTATTTCTTATATGTCTAAAGGCTTCAGGGTGCCCACCAATATGTCCATGGTGTACAATGCTCTTCTGCTCTGATACACACAGTCTTAGATGTCTTAGTGAGCTAGAGAGCCATGAGATTTAGAGCAAAAGCCCCGAAGTCCTTAACAGGGTGTTACATTCATGCTCTGATATTTTAAGAGATTTTCAGAGCATTAGTATCAACTGCTCACACTGTAATGCCTTTATGACTTGGCATACTGAGTACAGTTCTAGTCCCAACATCCCCAACATGATATTTTAGAGGTAGGAAAGGTACAGACTTGAAATGTAGTAAATACATGAGGAATGTTTTCATTGTTTGAGGTGTTCTAGTTTAGAAAAAAAGGTGACTTGTGGGTGGACATGATAGGCATGTGTAAAAGTATGCCTAGCTTGAAAAATGCAGGTAGAGAGTTTTTCTTCCTTTTGCAAAATACTAGAACTCAGATGCATCAGATGTGGACAAGTGCAAAGTTCAGAATAGACAAAAGGAAGTCCATCCCTACACATGACCCAATTAAATTTGCTGCCACCAAATGTATTAACAGCAGCCAAGTTCGATGGCCCTTAAATCAGGACTGGACAAATTCGTGAGGCATATGCTTGCCCAATGGCTCCCAGTCCTGATGGCTACATATTACCTCTGGTATCAGAGACAGCATGTTTCGGACAACAGTACTAGGGAAGAACTAAAAGCAAAAACTATTATTCTGTCACGTGTAACTATTAGGATTCCACTGAGCATGGACTTCAGAGAGATCTCTTCAGTGGAAGAGGGACTGGAATCTGCTAAAAATCCACCCTCAAAGACTGGGAAGACCTATCAGCAGAACACCTGAGGATGCCTTGCTAGGAGGATGTATGAGAAAAATTAGTTCATGTTTAACTAGAATGTACCTAGTTTGCACATCCCAGAACTGAACACAGACCTGAATGCAATCTGTGGCCAAAATACATATGCTTTGAAGACTCTGATGTGGTTTGTGGTACATAAAAATATGTATACATTTGAAAAATGCACATGAAAAATGTATTTGTCTCAAAAGTGTGCACCAACTCACTTTAATCAATAGGAGAAAAATGCATATACTTGGAAATGTACACAAATGAAGTATTAATTTAATGTACACAAGTTATGTGTGTTAATTTTTTTGCAAAAAGAAAGAACAAAACCCAATGTGATATAGAAACAAATTGGAACAAGCTTTGAGGAAGAATTTGGAGAAGCTTGATGGTCACGAGTTTTGCTAATCCATATACCCTAATTCCCCATAACCCCTTTGACCTCTTCCCAGACCCTATTCACCATCTTCATCTCACCTCTCAGGTCTCCAGAGCAAAGGTGACAGCATCCCTGGTAGAGACAGGCCTTTTTGGCCATCAGACAGCTCAACTGCCACGACGCTACTTGGCAAGAGTTGGGTGTTACCTGGGAGGGACTGCATCAGAGACAAGAATTGCTGGCAAGGAGTATCTAAAGCCACCAGTCTTCCTTGTCCTTTGCTAGGATTAACAGCTCTGTTAAAGTTCCTGTACTGTTTTCCATACTACGAGTAGGTACAGGTCACAGAGAGTTCCTTTAGGCCTTTCCAGAGGCCAATGTGGAAAGAGAATGCTAGACAAGATCAGGCCTTTGGTCTCTACTTATTTGCATTACTTTTTCAACATGAAGACCATGCTAAAGTACATTATAACTCTGGTGATATAACAGAGATGAGGCAGGAAAGCAGAGTCTTTCTAGAAGCCATTTCTGAGAGCTCAGATTCACTGAGTTCCAGAGAAAAGAAACATGACCTTGAACTCAGAAGTTCCATATTCAACTGTTACTTCCCATGCTCAACTTCAACTTAGCTCAACAAATCACCAACTTTTTGGCTTTTTTCCAGTTTTTAATTTGGAAAATGGGAACAGCATAGCCCCATTACAATCATAAATGGTGCTTCTATTACGTGGCTGAGAAACATCAACATTTTAATATTTACCATTTCAAATCACCATTCAACACCTGTTGGTGGTAGTTTGAGAAAAGCAAAGAAAGCAAAAATGGCTCCCACCTCCAAATATTCCAAATTCTTCTCTCAACCCTTTCATCTTTTACATTTAAACTGATTTCAAATAATGATGAAGATGTACATGCTGGCTACTAGGTTCCTTTCTATTTAATTCAGTTTCACTCATACTCACCTTATTGTAAACTCAAGAACTGAAAGGAGGTACTTTTGGTATGTTTGCAAGGATCTTTTACCACTTTCAACATTAGAACAGCTCAGCAAAACCTCTGCAGCCCTTGCAGTGCAAAAATAGGTTAATAAAAGTTAATGAAATGGGACAGCTGAAAATAGAAAGTCGATGTTTACTCACAGGTCATCTGAAGTGCAAGCAACAGCACACTTTCTATGTTCACCTAAAAAAAGTCCAGAAAGCTTAACTCTGCCATAAGGGCCTTCTGTTCTTCCTTCTCCTTGCTCCATGGTGAAAATATATTAGATGTTCAGAATGTGAAAATTCTGCTGTAACTTTTCTTTGACTTGAATATTCAGCTGTGCCAAAGCTAGTGGCAGAGTTATGATGCCACTTTGGAAATCAAGCTGCTGAAGCCACAAAGCCATGCTCAGTTCACTGAGTCATATCGTTGTCTAGACTTTCTTAGGATTCAGAATTCGTAATGTGATCTATCTACCCACTGGATGAATTGCCTCTCGTTCATCTTGGCTCAACCAAGCCTAAAAGTAAATAAAATAAATACATTTGCACCACAATTTGCTCTTTTGGCCCTGTGATGTGTGGGAAACAGATATATGCGTTTAACCCTGCAGAGGAGATAACAGCTTTTACTTGTGATCAGTTGGCATATCACTAAGCAAAATCTCTTGAGACTCAGGTTTAAGTAGTTTGGAACAATGAAAAAACAATCCATTTAGGCTTGACACAAATCCAAGGCTAGAGCAAACGACAGCAAAACTGTCTTTTTATTAGTATATGTCATTGAGTTTATGTGTGAGAAGGTGAGACAGAAGTTGACCATCTCTGTGTATCTCTTGAAAAAGAAGACAGGAAATTTCTTTGATCCAATGGTGGTAGCAGCTCAGAGATTTTATCCAAGTAAATCAGAGAATCTAGATCATGCTTGAATAACAGATTGGCTGAGAATTAAGCCTCATTGTATTCAACAGAGCTTACTCCTTGAATAAGGGCATGTGGAAATTTAATCTACAAATTTCACAAAATGTAGGCTGCAAGCAACCATGTGTTTGCCTTCCTGGAAAGAAATCCCATTGATTTCTGAGAAAGTACACATGTTCCTAGATTCTAGGGCCATCAAAGTAGCTAATCCTTTCTCGAAACTAGTTTGCAGTCTAGTTCTGAGGTTATCCCACATGTCCTGGCTAAAGTCTAGTCTTATCCATTCAGCACAATGGAACCTACTGCAGAATGGCTCAGTCACTCAAGACAATAATTCAGAACTGTGTTCTGGTTCACCCGAGTAGCTATAATTAGAACCTGTAGATACACATATAGCAAGTGAGCTACATAACAACGTTATTATTTTACAATGCAAAGGGACTAGCAGCAGCCAATTCAGGCAATTGTGGGTACACTAAGAATTGGCATGCTATGCTTGCTGCCTCTGTTATCTATGTAATAAGCAAAGCACTTGAGAAGATAAAAATGTGGGTGTGAACTGGAAGAAAAGCAGAACGAGGGGTTGTCTTTACTTAGGATAAATGCATGTGCACAAATCCATACAAATTAGTCTTATGTAGTTGCAACTGGAGTGGTAAGGCTGCTCAGTCCTCTTCTGGGAACAGCACTTTGTGATCTATGCTCAAACTGCTGCCTTCTCTCTCATTTCCACCCACCGCCTGCCTTGATCTGACCAAGCCTTGCTGCTGCTTCCTTTTCTGTCCTGGGAAGATATATGGGACTGGGTCAGATGCTCTGCAATCCTCCAGTCATGGGGAGGAAATAACACTTGACCCAGAATGACCATTTTGGCTGTGCCTCTTCTCGGTGGCAATTCATGCAAGAGCATGGTCTGCCGGGCATTTTGATCCCCCCCCCGCCCCCGCCACCTGCCACCTGCCACGTTCATGCATGTCTCTTCCAGGAACGGGGCATATCAGCCTTGCTGCCCTGGGACAGAATTCCCTTCCTCCCCATGGCTGCAGGCGCTGGGATCCTAGTTCAGAGAGAATGCGGAAAAGAGCATAGAGCCCACGGCCTGCTGCATCAGTTACTTTGAGAAGGCAGTTTCCTTGAGTCTGAGATAATGTGAAGTCAAGGTGGGAGAAGATTAACATCCAGGGGCTGTGCAGCAAAAAACAGACCCAGGTTATAAGCAGGAATGACAGCCCCCACCCCACACGCCCCATAATATATTTTTGGTGGGTTCAGAGAGAGGGAGCTTAGAGTGCTGAAGTGCCAAATCTTTCAAATAATCTTTCATTTTTATATGCAAGAAGGGGACATCAACGCAGGTGTTTCCCCTTCAGAAGAGCGTAGGAGGGAAGTCAGGGACACATCTCTCCTTCCACCCTGCTGCGTCTCTGTTTCTGACACCTCTGGGACTGATATACCAGGCCTACGAATACTGAGGTAGTTGTTTCCGTCACAAGTGCTAACAGCTGCAGTGCGCTCCGTGCTCCTTTCTGCTCTGATCCTGTCCCCCGCACTCCTTCTCTCATTCCCCGCCCCCTGCCCCAAGTGATGTACGCAGAGTGGGAGGACGGAATTGAATGCAGATACAAAAAGAAAATGAATTCAAGATGATGAACCCAGCAGTGTGTTTGGAATGTCTTGAAGAAAAACATTTCCAGCATGTTTTTTGGCACAGAAGCTACTAACTCCAAGTGCTAAGAAATTGAGTTCCCCGAGAGCGGCAGGATTCCTCTGCTATCTCCTTGCTACCTGCTTTGCAGATGTTTCTGCCCAGGCCCATCTCTCATGTGACCTCCGAAGCAGAAAAGAAAACCAGAAAGGAAGGCAGAGGCGATCTGCTAGCAAAACGGTGCCTTGCCATACAGGAAGATGGCTATGAGGAGGAAGCCTGGGAATGGGCCGTGCAAGTGTAAAGTAGCAGCAGCGGCACCAGTGCTGGAGCTGAAAAGTCCAACTGCTGAACATTACCTTTTGAAGGAACCAACAAAAGCCTTCGTAGCAGAGGAAATCTGGACCTAGTCGGGCATCCCTGTCACCAAAAAGTGCTCTTGCTCAGGCCAGCTTGTGACCTAGTAGTGCTGCTTAGGAAGCAGAGGGAAGAGCATTCTCAGACCCTCCAATGGTCTCTCCAGCCCTCAGAGGGCTTCCCTTGTGGTGCTCCCTCACATCAGAGATCTCAGGTTTGATTGCTAGTTCCAAACCTTACTGAATAGCAAAGGCAGTGAATCTAGACAGCAGGAAAGAAACATCTGCCTCTTTGCCTTCCTTTCTTCCAGAAACATCCCTAAAGGAGCAAGGTTCTTTATCCTCATGGCTCCCATCCCCAGGATGCTGCACGTCACTTGTGGGTGCTCACAATAAGCTGTTAGGGGTTTGAGCAGGTCACTCTCCTCTCCCCCTCACCAAGTCCTCCATTTTAGGAATGCTCCCTGGTCTAGAACACAAAATTATCCAGAGTAGGAGCAGGGAATCTCCCTTTGAAGGCCGCATTGCCTCAGGGAAAAGTTATCAGGGGACATATATAAATTGGGGCCACATCAAAAACGCAACGTGGGCAGGGCCATCCCCTGACCACAGCCCTTGGCTCCTTTCATTCAACTATTTTCTTACAAGCCTAGGGTACCCATCTCTGCAAGTGGCTTGGCCTTTCTTAAAAGTGTGTGCGCTCTCTCTCTCTCTCATGCTTCTAGCATATAGTTCGAATATTGCAGGGAAATTAGAAGCAAGAGCAGAAGAAGAGAGAGCACACAGAAGAGAGCTAGGTGGCAGGGAGAGGGTGAAGACATGAAAGTTAACTAAGAAATGTTTAAACAAGATATAAGTGGGATGAGGGACAACATGAAAATAGAGAGCGTGGAAAGAAATAGTAACTTAATGAGAAACAGAGTGAAAAGGGGCAGACATTTGGCTGCATAAAACCTACGGTTACTAGGATAACTATATCTAGGGAAGAATAAATTAGTAACATTCAGTATTACTCTATGAACATGCAACCTTGAGAGGAAGGGAGCTGGACACGAACTGTGTTTTCTTTCCTCCATTTTTACAATGCCCTTTCTCCAAGAAACTCAGGGCAGGTCACAAACCCCTCCTATCCATTTCATCTTCAGAACAACCCTGCAAGTTACCTGTGATGAGGAAGATCGTGAGTGGCTCATGGTCAGCTGCATGGCCCAGTGGTCATTTGAATCCAGGTCTGCCCAGCAGAGATACAACAGTACCCAGCAAGACACACTGGCCATAGTACTCTTTCAGACTTACCACAGGTAACACCTGTTCAAGATGGTACGGCTCAAATTATTATTTCTCCATCTACTAGCAGGCCTGCCCCATCTCAGCCAGCGCACTGATGCTCAGGAGGCTGCTGTGCCAACTGAGGGTGTGTCTCGAACTTTCTGGCCATGAGGCTGTTCTCCGCGACAGTAGGGATGATTCTGTAAACAAACGCCTCTCAGTGTTCCCCACAGAAACCAAACATAAATAGATGGAATCAGATTTTCAGCAGAAATGGCCCCACATCCGACTAAGAAATTACATGCGGTTTTAGATTTTTAGGTTGAAGACCAATTTTTCTTTCTAAATGCAGAATAAGGACACACACACAAGTGAAGCAAGTGTAGCTGCTGTTATATGTCTATTTGCTTTGGGCAGAAAGCTAAGCATAATGTTTAATAGCAGGACAATTTGTGCTCCTCATTAAATAGCATTAACTGCCACATGAAACTAAGGGCCCTTTTCTGCTGTAAGAAAGGTTCTTAGAGAGGCTCTTAGAAGTGGAAAAATGGCAGGAAAATGGGTGCTTAAAGTTTCAACTGCCTGAAGTTTTTCTACTTGCACAGTTTCAGCCTCATCTCCGCAGGATAAATGTAGGCCTGAGACAAAGGCAAATGTAAAAGTAGTGCATGCGTTTCATGAGGAATGCAGCTGGCATACGAAGGGTTAAGCAAGGCCCCCAGGTCATCTCCATTACAATTAACCCCCTCCCAAGAGTGCACAATGATGGAGAACGGGCTGCCCAGCTAAATCTAATGTTTGGCCCCATGTGCACCGTTTGCCGAAAAAAATTGTTCTAGGATGTCATGGCTTTGCAAGCCCTTTTCTCACCTGGAGAGATTACAAATAATGCCTCATTGTTTTCGAGGGCTGAAATGTGGCAGTTTGTGTGGCACACAAGCTAAAAAGGTGTCCAGATTCCAAATCACAATGAGGGCTGCATGTGTGGAACCCTTACACGGAGAGATTAGTGGTTGGGGGGGGGGGGTTATTTAGCAGGTGCAGTTTTTTCCATCACTGCACAACAAGAACAGTCACTTTCATCCAATACTTAACAAAGCGCTGCCATGTCTTCTGCGACATCTGGCAGGCTTATCTTCCACCCCGTTATAGGAGATCCAAAGACCAGTCTCTTTGTTGTCAGAAGATGGATTATACAGAAATCAGTTGTGCTTGATTTCCCAGGATGCGGCCAGTAAAGAAAACATTTTTAAAATGCTTGGGTTATAATTAAAATCTTAAGAACCAATCAGTCCCTTTTTAAGCTATCATTGTTTGGAGAACTTTCATATTCCTGTTGAGGTAAAAGTCAAGTCAACATCTTACATTTATTTGCCAAGAGCTGAGATTTATATTGGCCTCGAACAAGCCGGCAGGTGGAACCATCTCCATTGCAGACCCCACAGTTATCTTCCTTCACAGTGCTTCCCAGCTGGTGATCACAGCCAACAATCTGACAAAAGAGAAAGATGTGCAGTTCAAATTGAGCACCTCCTGACTGCTGGATCCATCTCTGTGGTTAGTTCCCGCCAATTTTTTCCTCTCACGGTCTCCGGAGGGCCATAAAGCATGTTAGGAAGAAAAGGGGGAGAGTAAATGAATCAGGCCATGAGAGTTCCATGTGAGCTTGGAGCAAAGAACTTGTAAAGTGGCTCCAAAGAAAGAGGACGACGAGGTTTTGAAAGGGAATACGGGCTTGATGATGGCTTCTTAGCAGTGGTGCAACTAAGCCTGGGCCTTCCGGCCAAAGTGCAAGCCTTCAGGCCCACTGAAATAGCCACCCGGAGAGAAGGTGGTGATGAGGGCATCAGGGCAGCAGAACCAAACCCCATTTTATTCCTGCAGATACAGTGATGTTAAGATCTGTGAGTTCAACACATAAAACTGCAAATGCTCAGATTTTTATTTTTTGTGAATCAGGATTGGAAAATAGCTTTGTAGCTGTTGTTCAAGAAAGCAGTTTTAAAGCACAGAACAACAGTTGTGGAGCTGAGTCATATTCATGGTGTGTTTCACAGTGGAAGTGATGCAGAGAGCCATCTAAAGGAGGCTCTTCTAAGCCCATTATGTCCATGGACTAAAATAACCCAGCTGCATCACTGCTTCTTAAAAAAGGATCCTATCAGGTGATGTTATTGTTAAAAAAATGCATGATTAAATCATAGCACAAGTTCATCTAAAATTTACCATGCTCAGCTTTTGAGTGATCTCATACAAGGCCTGTTCATGCACAGTTCAGAAGAAAGGCACATGGCACCAATACTGGGACTAAAAGTTTCAGATGATTTAAGTATACCTAATGTGAGTATGAGAATCAAGCCTAAAAGAAACACTGCTTAGACAGCTCTTAAAATACAGTTCTTCATTGGACCTTGCAATATAGAGTAACAATAAGGTTATTAAAAAGTAGCATCTGTCAAAGGAGTGATCTTTCTGATTGGTGGTGTTAGCTCTTGCCCATGTCAAGAGCTGATTTCAGATGGAATCACCCTCTTCCCCTTGCCTTCAAAAGGGGCTGGCTCCACCATCAGGGACATTTCCGCTGCTTGTGGGCCAGATGGTGGGAACACCAGGCATTACTTAATCACTGCGAGGCAATGGGTTGATGCGCTCACACCCCTCTCCTCCTTGTTCTATGGTGCACCAGAGTCAGTCTGGTTCTTACCAACTGCTTGGCCAATCTCATTAGTTAACCCTGGCATTTCAGGGATGCATTTCAAGCCTTCCTCATCTTTGTCTAGCTCACCTTCAGAGTCTGAACTTTCTAGCTCGAAATGTTGTAGTTGAAATTTTGAGGGATGTGGGCCTAATCCCTGCGCACTACAGATACAGTCCAGCCTGCACTGATACTGTCCAAACATTTGCAACGGTGCACAGCACTGCTACCTCTGGGACTGAGTAGTAAACAGACAGGTTCTAGTTGGAGTATTGTGCATAAGGTCTACATTCTACTGTAAAAAGCTTAATTGCATGTCTTTCTGAACAACATGCAGTGTAAGTTACAACTGACCATTGCAACTGTGTATTGCAACCTGTGTTCAGATAACGTTCGGGGTGTGATACAGGCGGGAGAGTAGATTTAAAGCAAAGATTTGGAGCCAGAAATCTGTATTCCATTTTCAACTCTCCAACAAGCATTGGGGGAGCAATTGGGCAGGACTTTTACTCTGAAATGTATATAGCCTTGAGTGCTCAGTTCAAAACGAATATATGAAATCTGATCTGCAAAACAGAGAAGTCGAAAAGTACCTGGATACAACGGGATGTACCCTTACTGAAGTCAGTGTGACTATATCTAAGCACTCAAGCTTAAACCATTTGCACATCAAATTGCCAGTGACCTAAATAACAAGCTGTATTTCAGTTCAGCACTGGGAGATCCTCAGATTAAAAAAGGAGGCAAATGGGAGTTACATTTGCTCAGAGAGTCATTTATACTAATTAATGTGGAATATAAGTTAAACAAACAAACAAGCAAACATAACTTTGTCTGGCTGAATGTGGCCAAATATTCTTGGCTCCATAGTCTGAGTTTTCCTCAACATGATTTAAAGTAGAAAATTAACAAAATAATGCATAAATACAATAATCTCTAATGTTTATCCTGAGACATCTGAAAGAATAAACTAGGTATACTCATTTTATTGTGAAAGCAAAGTGATTGAGATAAGACAGAATATGTATAAAGGAGTCATTCCTATGTTTTCTAGTACTATGTCTTGCCAATAGTATTTCAAAGAGGGACACAAGTACTCATTTTTACACTATATAACCTCTTACAGCTTCTGAGTTTGACATTTAATACATTCTTTAAAAGCATTGAGATGCAGTCACCAAATAAGAAAGACCCAGGGTGCTGGGCTGCAACCTAGAATAGGGGTATTCTAGACATTTTCCCCCAGTGCATCCCCTATCCCCAATACATGAACACGTCCCTTTTTTTCCTAGTAGGAAAAGTAATTTTAAAAAATGAAACAGGGAAGAATAAATGAGAACAATCTGAGAAGCTAAAAGAGAAACAGGAAGGAAGGAAGAAAAGATGGGAAGGAAAATAAATGGGAAAATGAAGAAGCCTTGCAAGGAATGGGAGGAATTATCTTCTTCCTTAAGCAATACCTGAAGTCAGAAACTCCCACCCTACAGAAAGCATAACTAAAGGGATGAGAATCCTCTTCTCTAACTATAATTGTGGCGACTAGGACTTATCTTTCATCAGATGGCTGCATTCCTGCAAAATATGCTTAAGGTCTGTATGGTAACCTACAGATTATAAATTCTAAAGCTGTCACTAATAGAGGCTCCTCACAAAACCGCAGCTGAAAAATGGCATAGCATAGCCTTAGCCAACAAATCTGTTCGAAGGGCTTGACAGCAGTGGGTGCAAGGGGAAGATCAAGTCTGCATTTAACACACAGAGAGCTAATTTTCAGTCCACCAGGAATGAGAGGAGAACCTTTGAGAAGCCAAGCACTTATACAGGGAGGTGTACTCTAAATCTGGAGATTAAGAGCCAGAATTCCCTCTATCAGATGAAAAAGAGAGAGCATTGCTGCAGTGCAATGAGAATCTCATGCCTTACTTACCAAGTTCCCTGGGAATGCACAAAATGCCCACATCTATCTATCTGGAGGAATGTTGTCCATGGGGTCGCGATGGGTCGGACACGACTTCATGACTAACAACATCTATCTATCTAGACATATAAACACAAACTGGCCTTACTTATATTTGGCTGTCTTGCACTTCTGTAAGGCCTGGCAGTTTGATGGGCTGAGGTGATACCTTGTCTCGTCCTGGGAGCCTCTGCGACAGACATTGCCTCCTCCAGAGCATGTGCTGAGCAGAACCTTTTGAAAATCCAGCCATGTGAGAGGACTCTGGTCATGGATTCTACAGTTCTTTAGAAGGGTGAAGGAATACACTGACAAATAGTAACAAGAAGACCCAAAGGATGCTGGAAGTTCAGAATGACACAATAGAAACACGTGTCCTGTAGGATAGGTGTCATAATAGGTGGAAGTGCAGGAGTTGGAAGGAAAGGGGCTGCAGAACAGGTCATTCATTCATTAGATTTATAAAACACTTTTTTTTTCTTTTTAAAGTGCTCAAGGCAGCTTATATCACTCTCCTGCTGCTCTCAATCTTAACCCCACAACTACAACCCTGTGAGATAGGTAGGCCGGGCTAAGAGTCTATGACCGTTCCCCAGTTGCCTCCATGACTGAGCAGCCACTAGAATCCAGAACACCTGAGTCCCAAACCCATGCTCTTAATCACTACACCACACGGGCTCTCTATACAGAGCTTTGTTACACAGACTGCATTTTGCTGAAGAATTGAGAAGGAAGACATCAGTTTAAGGGCTGCTGTGGAGAATTGTAGCTGCTGGAGATAAAAGGCTGAACACAGGTTGCTATCCCAGAATGCAGACCAGCCTCACTAAACCATTTTGCCTTCAGAAAGAGTTTCTTGCTGCCTAGAGCATGCACAAGGCCTGTGTCTGAAGGGACACATTTAGACACAAGGGGAAAATCAGTAACTTGGTTTTCTTTCAACCGAGACAGTTGTTAATCTCTTCTATATCCTCCCTGCCTAAAAATTACTATGGTAAATAACGTGTACTAGTGTGAAAATATGTCAGTGCAAGACTGCTGGTTCAACACCAAGAGCTCTGCTAAGCTGGCTAATACCTTCCACCACCCACACCAGCTTTGCTAACTGACATATCTTATGTACCCCTGTCAACATATCCTTCACAGCTAAGTTCTCATCTGTGCCTGCTGATGAACCTTCAGTTTTTGTTAATACCACCCAGGGAGCTAGCTAGCTAGCTAGCTAACTACTAATACAATACCTCTTGCTGCACCAGCAATACACTCAAATATCCCTGGCTTTGCCAACATCAGGAGAAATTTGGAGAAGCTCACAATACTATTGAAGATGCTGTAAGTACTAATTTATATTGTTAATTTATATTATTCTATTGAAGTTTATTTATGGTTGTGAGCCGCCCCGAGGCTTCGGCGAATGGGGTGGCATAGAAGTCTCCTAAATAAGTAAAAGTAAGTTAGTAAGTACTACAAACCAACCATGTCTGGTGGACTGTCAGGCCTATGAAACCAGCTTTCAAACTGATAGCCCAAAAGACAAGATATCTGAACGCTTTCATCAAAACTGCTGACATTATCTTTGTGTTTCATGTTTCCTGACAGATTCTTTCAGAGGATATACAAATGTACCCCATTGCATGAAAATGAAAGATATAATGAAGAAGCATTTGGAACAACCCCATCACAGTGAAAGCATGAACATGTCCAACTGTCAGCCTGCAGAAACCATCCATGTTTTTTCTGTGGGAAAAGTAATATCCAAGGCCAATGAAACACTAGCAGACAAAGTTGGACACTTCCTCCCTCACGCTTACGGAGCTGCAATCAAACTCTGAGTATGTAG